CAGGCATATGATCAGAAACTGATATGTCACAAACATCTAACAAGCAAACCACAAGGTAAAATGAGAAAAAGTGTGTGTCAGCGTTCTTGTGTCTCTCATCTTGGTGGGTGGGAAGGCTGCTCCCCACAGTCCTCTAACATTCACTCAGACACTCACATTCACTCCTAAGGGGCAATTTGGAATGTCCAAATAACATAATATGCATGTTTTTTGGACATGAGGAAGGAGTACCCGGAGAGAACCAATGCAAACTCTTCACAGAAAGGTCCCGGTCCCAACGAGGACACGAACCTCAGGCTGTGAGGAAACAGTGCTAACCACCACACCACCGTGCCACCGACTGAAGAGTTTAACCTCCTGATACTTAAGCAATTGGTATGCATTTTTGCTTTTTTCAAAATATATGGGATTAGTAGGACCTAATAAGTTTAATAACTAGACTTTGTCATGGTACATGTAGTTTTTCTTCTCATAAGCTTAGTGGGTTTATCTTTATATTTAAAAAGTTTTTTTATATATTTATTCAAATGTTTTTGTAACTTGGTTTTGATGGTCCAAATGACTTATTTTCAAAATTTTAATTACACAATAAGAACATAATTGGTTAAAGTTGTATAAAACCATTTTACTTTAGATTTCAAACAGCAGTGTCTGTTAGCGTTGACTGTGACGCCAAGAGGTCAAAGTCGAAAGAAAAAAGAAGTGTCATGGTGAGATGCAAAAGAGATGCAAAAATGCAATGTCCTCATATGAGGACGCAGGGTCTCAGGAGGATGATTTAAAAAATGTTTTTGCAAGTCTGGTATTAATCATTTATCAAATTTATTTCTTTATATTCCCAAGGAAATATAAAAAATCCCAATTTCTTTGTTATTAATTGCCACAGTGATAGAAAATTGACCTAATAGATCTGCTTTCCTGCATACAACAACCACCAAAATTCAACATTACCTACTTGTGGATTTTTATTTGAACAATATAATTCAACAGAGAACACAATAAGGTCACAATAACTGACCTCACATTTTTCATTTTTTACGCAGATCTAACATAATTTACTGGGGTCATGAAACCAGATAATGGAATTCTAGGCTTTTGAACATTAGAAAAAATACTTAGAACTGTTTGCTCCATGGAATATTGCTTTATTTAAAAGTTAATTATTACAATTAAGGTGGTGGGTTTTAATTACAAGGACTACAAAAATGAGTTTGACCTTGTTAATCCAAGCTTTTAAATTGGGCAATTAAAAAGTATTGCTAGAAAATATGTGCCCTCTGACCACATTCCTCTCAGGCAGTCATCCCCAGTGTCTTTATTCCCATGTCCTTTTGCTTGTGACCTTCATCTTTTCTTGTCTTTCTTAATGTTCCAGACCATGTCCCCACATGACTACACGGCATATCCTCAGCTCAAACCATGACCAGGTCCTTTGCTGAGAGTTTGACAGTCATCTTGTAATAGTCTTTCACTTCCATTAGTATTTCCAAATGCAGGGATATTACAGGGTCAGAGCCCTTTTCTATGGGCAATAATTGCTGTCTACTGAGCACTTGAGCTGCTGCACCCACCTCATAAATTGTCATAAAGTTTAATATGAAATTACGTGAGGGTGAATCATAATGGATTAACAGGGTTGTCAAGGCTACTCTTAAAGGATAATCCATTGCAAACAGCTGATCACCTGTTAATATGTGATTAATAATACACTTTCCTAGTAATATAATTTGATTTTCCTTACAAAGCATTAGATTCCTCTCGAAATCCCAACTGACATCTTCTTTAAAGTGTTGCGTTAAATTGTTCTTACAGGAACTTCAGAGGTCATTATATGTGTTTGGGACTGCTAATTGTAGACAACGTGTACATGCTTTAAGGTCATCGGGACCGGCCAACTCAAATAATGTAATCTTATTTGTTATTTTGAGTTATCATAAAATTTAATTGGAAGTTAATAACTACATCTTTATGATATCAAGTAAGTAAGTAAGGTAAGTGTCTGCCTTTCACCTGAAGAAGATATTTTAACTAGTATCATGTTGACACTGTTTTACCATGGTAAACTTTGAAATTTTCATTTATAATTAAATCTGAAAGCCTTTAAGGACAGAGACAGAGCTAACACTGTGTTGTGCAAGACTCAATATATTGCTTTGTCAGGATCCCTTGGTGTAAGAAATGTACACAGAGGGATACATTTTTGCTGTCAGTGCTGACTAGCTCTTTTCAAATCATTTAACCTAGCTGATACTTTTTGGCAAGACAAAAGGACATCAGCAAAATTGTATTTGAAGTTTTCCTGTTCTCAGCACAAGCCTTTTTATTCCTTATGTCAGTCTCACACAATTGCATCTAATTCACATGACAGCAACATCTTTCACACATTGCAAAAGTTTCAAATTAAGTGATTGCATTTTTTTTTTGTTAACAGCTATTTTGTCCGTCACAGGAAAAATTTAAGCATGTTGTGTGAAGGGGAACCTTGATCTACTACTGTGGGAACTGAAGAAGTGATATAGTTTAGATCCCTTATGATGATTAAAATAATTGGATTTAGTGTTCCCTCACCCGGAACACTAGATTTTACACGCGGGCCACCGGGGCCTCACTGTGGAGCCAGGCTGGAGGTGAGGCACGTTGACGCGTACCTGGTGGCCGGGCTTGCACCCATTGAGCCTGGCTGGGCCCAGCCCGACAAGGCCACATGGGTCCCCCTTTCAATGGACTCACCACCCATAGGAGGGCCCGAAAGGGTCAGGTGCTATGTGGAACAGGTGACGGCCGGAGACGGGGACCTTGGCGAACTTATCCCCGGCTGCACAAGCTGACTCTAGGGACATGGAATATCACCTCTCTGGTGGGGAAGGAGCCTGAGTTGGTGTGCAAGGCAGAGAAATTCCGGCTAGACATAATCAGTCTCGCTTCGACACACAGCTCTGGCTCTGGAACCAGTTTTCATGAGAGGGGTTGTACTATCTTCTATTCTGGAGTTGCCCCCAGTGAGAGGTACTGAGCAGCAGTGGCCGTACTTGTAGCCTGTTCATTGGGATTCACCCCGGTGAATGAGAGGGTAGCCTACCTTCGCTTTCGGATGGGGGAATGGATGCTGACTATTGGTGGCGCCTAACAGCAGTGCAGAATACCCACCCTTTTTGGAGTCCTTAGAGGGGGTGCACCTGGCGGAGTCTCCTGTTAGACGGAGCTTTAATTCCTGCCTCCAGGAGAGCTTTGAGTACATTCCGGGGGAGGTCGGGGACATTGAGTCTGAGTGGGCCATGTTCCGCACCTCCACTGTTGACGCGGTTTTAATGGAGCTGCGGTCACATGGTTGTCGGTGCCTCTCGAGGTGGTAACCCTATAGGGATGCTGTCAGGCCAAAGAAGGAGTCCTATCGGGCCTTCTTGGCCTGTGGGACTCCAGACGCAGCTGATGAGTATAGGCAGTTCAAGCGGCATGCAGCTAGAGTGGTTGCCAAGGCAAAATCTCAGCATGGGAGAAGTTCCGTCCTGGCCATGGAACACTGGACAAGCTCTATACCCTCAGCAGGGTCCTGGAGGGTGCATGGGAGTTCCCCGAACCAGTCCACATATTTTTTGTGGAGTTGGAGACGGCGTTAAACTATGTCCCTCAGGGAATCCTGTGGGGGATGGTCTTGGAGTATGAGGTATCAGGCCCTTTGTCACATGTCAGAGCTTGGTTCGTATCGCCAGTAGTCAGACCCGTTTCCGGTGAGAGTTGGATTCCGCCAAGTTTGCCCTATGTCTCCCATTCTGTTAATAAATTCTATGGACAGAATTTCTAGGCGCAGCCCAGGTGTTGAAGGTGGCGGTCTTGGTGGCCTTAGGATCGCATCTCTGCTATTCACAGATGATGTGGTCCTATTTGCTTCATCAAGTCGTTATCTACAGCCGGGTTCGCTGTTTGCCGCCCAGTGCAAAGCGGCTGGGATGAGGATCAGTGCTTCCAAGTTCGAGACCATGGTTTCTCACCGGAAAAGGGTAGAGTGCCTGCTCCGGGTCGGAGGGGATGTCCCCTCCCCAAGTAGAGGAGTTCAAGTACCTCGGGGTCTTGCTTGCAAATGGGGGTAGGAAGCGGCAGATTGACAGGCGGATCGGTGCAACGCCGGCAGTAATGTGAGCGCTGTACAGGATTGAGAGAGCTGAGCTTAAAAGTGGAGCTCTCAATTTATCAGTCGGTCTACGTTCCCACCTTCATCTATGGCCACGAACTTCGGGTAGTGACTGAAAGAACGAGATCGCAGATACAAGCCAAAATGAGTTTATTCTGTAGGGTGGCTGGGCTCTCCCTTCGAGATAGGATGAGAACCGGGAGGGGCTCCGAATAGAACCGCTGCTCCTCCACGTCAAGAGGAGCCACTTGAGGTGGCTCGGGCATCTGATCAGGATACCTCCTGATCGCCTCCCTGGTGAGGTGTTATGGGCACGCCCCAGAGGGAAGACACAGGACACGCTGGGAGGACTATGAGGAACTATGTGTCTCGGCTGGCCTGGGAACACCTTGGGATCCCCCCGGAGGAGTCAGCAGAAGTCGCAGGGGAGAGGGAGGTGTGGGTTTCCCTGCTTCGGCTGCTGCCCCCGCGAACCGACCCCAGATAAGCGAAGGAAAATGGATGGATGGATGGATGGATATAGCTTCATTTTGACCATGCTGGACAGTTGGAGTCAAAAGAATTTTATTGCCATACCAGCTCCCACTTAGCACTTAGATCCTGGTTTAGAAAACCTAATAAATAAGTATAAAAAGAGCTACTTAAAGAACAACATGGATACAAATATAAACAGCAGAATAAAAATAAACAATTTAAACAGTTAAATAACTGAAGCTGAAATTGGCTTTGTTAAATGCCAAATACAACCATCTATGCATCTATGGTCAGTGGGTGGTAAAGACAGAGGGAGAGACAGAATTAGATGGGAAAGAAGTGGGAGTCCGCAGAATACGTCTTGAGTTCAGCAGTCTGACAGCTTCAGGGAAGAAACTGTTTCTGAGCCTCGTGGTTTTGCTCTGAATGCTCCTCAGGCGCCTGCCTATAAGGAGGGGCTAAAACAGTCTGTGTGCGTCTTTCACGATCTGGAGGGCCCTTCCTCTGCATCATGATGTGTAAAGGTACAAGGTGGTGGGAAAGCTGCTCCCCACAGTCCTCTAATCAGCCTTGTGCAGGTGCAGCGGATGCTCTCCACTGCTCATTGGTAGAGGCTTCCAAGTTCAGCTCTCCTAACCGAACAGGGAGTGTTGGCACTCCAGGTGAGGTCATCGGATATGTGCAAACCCAGGTACCTATGGCTGGAGACCACTTTCAATGCAGCTTCTCTGATGTGCAGGGTTGGGAGAGGGTGCTTGTCCTTTCTCAAATCCACCACCAACTCCTTGGTCTTCAGACCAAGCACAAAACCTGTTGAGTATATATTAGGCGGGGAAGGGTCCCATGGGCATCGTGCATCCCTACATTGTAATATGCCCTGCACTTGATACTCTTCCACATGCTCGATGGGATTGCTGGTGGCAAAGTGGCTCCGAATTTCCTGGGTGTGTGCGGCTTTGGCCCTCCCTTACCTGCAGTCAGTCCTTCCCTTGCCTCCCTGAGTGCTAATGCCTCCCCTGCCCTGAACACAGCATCCCCAGCTCCCAGCAGAGTTCTCACCTCAGTATTCAGCCAGGGTTTCTGGTTCAGGTAACAGATTATATGTCCTGGTGGTGGTGACATCATCAACACACTTGGAGAGGTAGCTGTAGACAGAGGAAGTGTATTCCTCTAGATCCAGCTCTCCCTTATATTCCAGTCTGTGCACTGAAAACAGTCCTGGAGCACAGATAACGCACCCCTGGGCCACACAGTGACTGTCCTCTTTGTTGACCTGATCTGTCTCAGGAGTGTCCTTCAGTTTCACGTGATCAAAGTTCCCTGCAATCACTTAGAATATCTCCCTGTGCTTTGTCTGCAGCATCTAAAGGTCATTTAATGCTTAATTTTCTATAACACTGGGCGGGATGTGAGCAATAGTAACAAACACTGTGTTAACTCCCATGGCAGAGAGAACCGCCAACATTTCATGTTCACAAGTACTATCGCCTCAGAGCAGTAGCTTTTTTTTCAGTCCACAGTTTGAACACCAACCCTCATTCATGTAGGCTACACATCCTCCCGACCGTTCTCTGTAGAAACACTCAGCTTCAATATCCATAATAAGTCCACTTTTTTACCATTGATATTAGCCAGAAAGAGTGTCGGAATCGATGGCCTTTAGCTGGGCCATTGCACACGCCTGCTTTCCTCTCTTCTGTTTTCAGACCCACTGTCTCCATTTTCCCTGTACTCTGCTGCGCCACTCTGTTTTCCTCAGGAGTTGCTACCTTCCAAGGGCGGATTTCAGCCTCAGTGTAATAACCAAACTGTCAGTTTGGTTGAGCCATTCTTTACATGTGACTTTAGCTCAAATCTAGTGCTAAAAACGGCCTCAAAGCTCTTTAAATAAGGCATGGTCCTGGAAACCATGGCCCAGTGCACCACCGTCTTGTAATCCAGTTCATCATATTTATTATTAAGGTTGTTTTTGATTGCTTTTAGAATGAATATGATTTTCATGTGATAAAGATTTGTGATCATTCATAAGAAATGGATTGTCAAACTCTCCTGCTACACAGTTTAGGTGAGTCATTAAAATCTGAAAAATGAATTGAACTCCTCTTTTTCACAGCATTCCCACAATAAATAATTCTAATCCTTGTTTGCCACAGCGCATCTGAATCTGCTGATGCATTTTTCATTTAGCGCAATCTCCATTAGATATGCTGATAGATGTTTCTGACACTTCAGGAGAGGATTCTCATACATCCACACAGGCATGCTTATTAACAAAGATAAGCAGAGAGAAAACACTAACAATTCACCCCCCTCCACCCTCTTTCATGTCTACAAGTTGACAGCAATCATCTAGCATTTCACACCTCGAAGCCCAAACAGACACGCCAACACAGTCAGGAAAGCTGACCTAAAATCAGAGATACATTTCCAAAATGAATAATGGCAGGTTTTAGACAGCCAACCTATCCCATCGTTATCTGCACCCTTCACTAATAAATAAATGAGGGATGCAACAACTACAATAGTGACAGCACTTCATCTTGTTAAATAATTAATCAAACAGTCAGGTCTAAAGGAAGCTACAACAGCCTTAGAATTAGTTTGGATATTGGAAGGAGAATGTCTCATGGAAAAATGATTTACAGAAGTTTCAGTTGTCTTTATTGCACTTGCTGCACATTTTTATTCCAAGACAAAACTTTCCAGACTTAAGTCTTAATAATTGATCATGGTATATTGTTTTAAAATATAGCAGTCCAGCAGTCAGTAGTTTAGCACTGTGGCCTCACAGCCGAAGTTTCCCGGTTTGTATCCCTTGAGGGATGGTTGCATGTATTAGTGGAGTTTGCCTTTCACCCAGTGTTAGCTGGGAAGGGCCCAGCCTCCCCTTGGCCCTACATAGAAACTGAAACCAGATTTATTAACTGGTCTTTGTTTTTCCAAAGATCCTATCAAATGTACCAAACAGAAATAACTCTATAATTTTTCAGAATTCAATCAGTGTACTCAGCATGAGGTATATTTTAGAGGCCTGTTGACAGATTCTCCAAAGCCTTTTGCTGTGAATATATCTACAACATATAGTGCATTATTAAGGGACACACAGTTTAGTTATGGCAGACAGAAAAAAGCAAACAAACTGTGAGTTCATCGTCATCAGAGTTTGCACAAAGACATAATCATCACATTTTCCTCTTTGCTCTCTTGTGCCTTTGATGTTTACAAAAATGCATGAACAAGCCCCACTTTGAAAGCCATTCCAAATAAACGCTTCTATTGATCTGTTGTTTTGCCACATAATTATCTCAGAGGTGTAGCTCTTTCAAAAGTTTTAATGGACCTTGCCAACCATGCTGGCTGGTAGTTATACATGACAACAATTATTCAAGCACAATAAGTTGGAGACAAAATATAGCACTCACAGTTGCCAAGTGCAACAGTCTCCAGTACAATCACAAATAGACTTTCGCAATTAGTTGTCTTTATTACCTAACGGCTAAATCTTAGCAATAAGAATATGACACATTCCTTTAAGAACTTTTGGGTTAGGCTTTATCTCTGTTGCATTCAACCCTCTGTTCAGACCAACACGTTTGTAAATGTCAATCAAACTGTTTTTCAATTTCCTAGCCTTCCTGCCCTGGGCTCTGGAGATGGAAAATTGCCATCCTGGGTTTACATTGCATCATGTCCACATTCAGAGAAAACTCCACAGATGCTTTGTTGCCATTACCCACGACCCATATTTCTGTAAACCCCCTTCATAATAGCAGGTCTTAGCAATGAGTGGGAGGTCTGATATTACACTGAACTTGTTGTTAATTGTCTAAATATTTTTCTCTGCTTTCTTTTCCATGGTAGTAACCCCCGTAAAAATGTTCTGTGGTTAATTTTTCAGTCTACTGGCGAGCATACATTTCTGTATGGCGAGCATATCAATTTGGTGCTGTATCAGTGATTGTTTTCATTTGAGATTTAATGACAAAAGGACCTAGAACAACATTCAAAGAAATGGAAAGTCTCTAAATTCCCTCAAAAGATGTGAAGGTTGACTTGGGATATTAGAAATGGAAGCTCTATAATATAAGTATGAATCTTCATGAAGCTTTCACATGTCGATTCAAAAATGCATACTAACATATATGTTTGCAGGACATTTATTAATGTTTAGAACTACAGGGTTTTTCTCATATGGATATAATTCTGAAGGACTATAATATATGGTTGTATAAAGTATAATTGAAAAAAATACTGTACCATACATCCTTACATAAGACCATAATGGCAAAAATTGAACTTTTTTCAGAAGGTATAACACAATTACACTGTATATTTATAGCAACCATATACTTTACAGCTATCTTAGTATTATTATCATTATCATTTGTAAGAGGGCACTTGCACTCATGCAAATTATCAACAAATTAGTTATCCTATAGGACATTGATTTTTAGCAGCAAACTGAGATCCAATAGGAATTTTTACGAAAAAAACCCTGGTCAAACAAAAAGCGAAGCAGAAATTCTATTGGGAATTGATGTAATTTTTTTTTTTTTGGTGAAGCTGTAAATGTGACAAAACATTCATGCCACAATATACCAGCATTATGTAGGGTCAAATAAAACTAAAGTAACAGGAGTGGATGAGGCCAAAATCCATCTGACCTTTACTTCATCGTGATGAAAACCACAAGTGCTACAGCAAAACCAGGGAAAAAATTATGAAATGGTAAAACATACATTTGTATGACAGAGTATTAGGGCCACATTAAAAAAATAAAATAAATAAATTACTACATTAAAGTCATTCTTAAATATGGTGAGAATAAATTAGGAGTTTTAAGTCTTTATTAAACATGGCGAGAATAAAACCCCCATCACAAAAGCCATGCCTGGTTCTTTTGGCAGAAAAGATGCATTTTATTTAATGTTCTTTTTAACGCCCTGATACTTCTGCCAATCTTATTCTGATCTGAGAAAATATGAAGTATCTACTTGTTTGTGAAACCTATTCTAATGTACATTTCCATGAATTCCATGCTTCACAACCCTAATTTTATCAACTCTCCTCTTACGACTTTGATTTGTGATTTGTTCTCACCATATTTAATAACAGCTTTAAACTCGTAATTTATTCTCGCCATATTTAACAACATTTATAATTTTCTTATTAATTCTCGCCAAATTCAATAACGACTTTAATCTCGTAATAGATTCCTTTTTTTTTTTTTAAATGTGGCCCTAATACTCCATCATACATTTAAAACATTGTCTATTGAATATAAGTCAATGAATTGGCAATGTGATTGCATATGTAAACTATATTCTCATTTATTTATAAGTCAGCCCTTTTTAAGTTATGTTTATTTCTGTTTTATTCATTCTTACATTTTTGGGAGGATGCTACTAGGGGGACACACAAATTGCTTAATTAGATATGGTTGTGGTATGTTATGGACAAAAGACACTGATGGAATTAAAGTTAAACCTTTAACACATATGTGCTCATAAGATTTATCCCAGTTTCCTAATAATTCAAATTAGAAAAAATTAAGTAAGCTTCTACAGTTTTATTATAGACAAAAAATATGTAGGGGGTATGTAATGTATTCTAAAGCCATCTTTCTCCACTAAGTATGTAACATTTTAATAGGTAAAGTATGAGGAGGACGAGCCTTGGTCGACAGGACCCCCTCACAGCAGCTGCTGGTGCAGATGTAAGGTGACAGTAATCAATACTGATTATAAAAGTGGGAGAACCATCTCTGTGGTGTGATTAATCTTCATTCCCTTGTGTTTACAGAGCCTCCTCTGGCCTGTTCGCCTCAAAGGGGAGCTCTCCCCATTATCTATCCCCAGAGACAGGAAAAACAAAACACTGTCACCATTAAACATATTCACTGTCACAGTAGAGGAAAGCACACATAGGCGGACTGTGGGATAGATGCCACACTTGTAGCCGCAACAAAGCAGTGTGAAACTCAAGTACAGATTGCATTGAATATGTGAAATGCGCTTTTACAAAAATCATTGTACAATTGCTTACAATGAAAATATGGTTGAAGCATTTGAAATCCTAGCCATTTTGGAGAAGAATTAAATTGTTTTTTTGTATTTTTTAATCAACAATCAAGACTTGCTTTCGTGTTTGTGTTTTTGGCTACATACTTTGTAAACCCATAATTCATTCTCATCACTCCTCAAACGCTTTAGCCATAATTAATATTTTATGTTGATATTTAGAGATTCAACATCCAAGTAATCAAGGCATGATAGTTAGTTTTTTCTTCAATTCTTTAGGAGAAATTGTTATTAATAGAGCTTATATCCTAAATCTATGCAAAAATGCAATCCAGTTAATAACCTTGCTCTTAACTAACAACGTATATTTGTAACCTTGCCGTATGACAGCTATTGTGAAACAAACTATTCATCATCCTTGCTCCACAGCATCTACAATCAAATTCAGGTTAATGTTTAAAACAAAAGCAAAACAAATATCAAATTAGAGTCACTTAGGGTATAGATTGTTGGTTTGGGGGGGATTTTGTGGTACGAGGTCAATTAAAGAAAGAGTCAATTCTACAATAGTGTAACAATGCAGAAACTTTGGAAGTACAAGGGAGGAGAAAATTGAACTCAGGGAGAGAATACAAGCTGCTGACACACAACATAAATCTAAGGCATGCAGGGGCAGGTTTGAATCCTGTATTTGTAGTCAGGAGGCAACCCCGTTCCATGCACAGATGTGTGCTTGATATGCATCAGTGGCACCCCATTAACATTTTTGGACTGGGCTGAAGGCTCTAGGTGCCTCTCGTTTCCATTGCCTGTGACTGCAACAGATGGTCACCCTCTTTCTCACAAGCTCCACCCCGTCTCTGAGTACTCCCCCACAGGTGTCAGGCTCCCACTCCCCTGCTCTATCGTTAGATAATCTGCATCCCGCCTTTCCTCCCCCTCCAGCTGCTTGCCAAAAAGGAACCTGGGCTTTTCTCTGTTTAATCCACTCTTGCTCTTCCTCCCCTCATCTTCCCCCCTCCTCTTCCACAGTTCCATCACTCAGCACCTGTGTGGATCCCACCGAGACAAGAGCGGAGATAAGGATTTTGCACAGCTCCCTCTCTGTTTCTGTGGAACTGGGAGATGGGGAGGGGTCAGGCAGAACAAAGAGGGAAAAAAGCTCACAGAGACGTTGGAGATTCTTGACAGCTGTTTCATTCTGAAGCCAATCCTCTCTCCTGGGTGCCATATCTAAAAAAGACAGGGGCAAGTAAAAGACAGAGTGGTTACATTTGCAGAAGAATAAAGGGAATAGAGGGAGATCTTTAGGAAAGTTCAGAGGATTAATTTAACACAAGGAAGAAAGGATAGTTGAAGGCAAGGTGGAGGAATTGGAAAAAAATGCTTCCTTTGTCAGAATAATTGCTTTGAGCCAGTCTGCTGTGCAAACTGCTTAGAGATTATAGGATTTATTCCCATGTAGATTTTCACTGAGTCGCTTTGCTGAAGCCATTCTATTCCCTGCAGCAGAGCATGCGACCTGGGAAGTTCTGTATAAATACATAAATACATAAATACTGAGCAATGTTGTAGCACGATGTCTGTCACGAGGGTGGGTCTTGGAGGGAGGACTCAGTCGCGGAATGAGGGGAACAAGGTTAATTGACAAAAAACAGGGTGAATGTCCAGACAAAGTACAAAACAAAGCTGTGGCAAACTGTGGGCAAAGTAACAAAGCAATGAGCAAACAATACTGTGGCAAAAACTATGACTTGACAAAGTAACAAAATAAAGATAAACAAGACTATGACAAAACGTGACTATGACTGTGGCAGAACTGTGACGAAACAAACCTGGCGTGGGGTGACGACGGACGAAAGGACAAGAGACAAGGC